TTTGGTGGAAGAGAAGACTTGGGATCTGGGGTGCTCCTGCCAGGATTTGAAGCTCTGTGCTTGTCCCTAGTCACTGGAAGGCATGCTGGGATGTGGGGCCTTCTTTACCTGCATCTTCTGGTTTCCTAATAACTCACTATTTTATAAGCATATCATATGCTTATCTGTACCTCTTTATATAGATAAATGCTTTTGTATGTCATCATGTTAATAAATAGTACACTATTTTATAATAGATGGAATGCAGCATCTGTGCAGAATTTAAATAAAATACTTTCTGTCAAAAGCAATCTTCAATGAATAAGAAAATATACAGTTTGGAAAATGTTATCAAGGTCTGTTCATTAAAGAAAAGAATTTTATGTATAAAATGAGATAGGCATATTGATAGTAATATTTATTTCATGTAAGATTATTTCTTTATCTTTTAATTTTGAATACAATGTATTCAATGTATTATAAGCATCGTGACCATCCATAATGATTCCTTCTCCTCTCTTTATTTTCTAGATCCCCTTCTCACTTTATTTTATTTTATTTTTATTTTAGTTTTTATTTTATTTTTTCTTTTAGTTACTGAATTAATACTTACACATTTGAGCACAGATAGGTGGTTACTCAGTATACCATGAAATCACCTATGCCTACACACCTGAAAAAAATGATATGCCTTGCCAACTTTATCAGTCCATAGCTACTTAGGATGTGGCTGGGCCTCATGAACCCACCTTTTAACAATGAAGTTGAAGGGTTTAGTCTTACACGACTTTAATTCAGGTATTCATGGTTCATAAATTCTTTTTCCTTGGTTCTATAACCTTGTCGTATCCACCAGAGAATGTAACATACCACATTTTATTATTCTCCAGGCCTTACATTGAATTTTGTCTTCTATTTTGAGATACTTTTTGGTGCTTGAAGAAAATATTGTAGCTGTCCCTTTGAGATATGAGTATCGATGATTTACTTATTCTCAATATTTTCAAGAATTACAAATCTCTGCATTAAATTTTGTTCACATCATAAAGAAGCTTCTCTGTCATAGTTATGTTTAAATAGCTCACAGTGAAATATGATCATTTAAGAGGCAATCTGACCCCTTGTATACTTAAAAAGAAAAGAAATGATTGTTCCCTAGAGTCTGTGACTTCACTAGCCACAGGCTTTTGTTCAAGTTTACAGTGTCAGTTATGTGTATTTGAGAATATCTCAAGTCTTATCTGAAGGTTATTGATTATTCCACAAACTTTTAGGTCACTGTTGACTCAGTGGACATGCCTTACTCAACTGCTTCATATTCTGATACTCACTGATGAAAGATAAGTGAGAAATTTGGTGATTTTTCACTTTCAGAAGAAAATATGGCACTTTGGGGACTATGAACAGTAGCCAGAAGAAAGGAGCTCTTACATAGAGATTCTATGAAATTAAAGTCATTTAAAAATTACACACACACACACACACACACTGTCATAGAATAACCATTCCCATTCCAGAAGTGATGTCTGAGGTAAAACATAGGAATAGCAGGAATAAAGCACAGTGAGAGCTCAGAAGAGCAAATATCAAATCCTGTAGATCCATGTAGTATAGCATCTAGAGCATGTGATGTATCATCTGATACATCACTCTTCACTTCTGCTGCCAATAACAGGTAACCTCTCCCATGAGTTGGCTCCAGTCTCTGCAGAGAGATATCTTAAGAATGTCCTATGGCTCTGATATTCATGATAGTTTTGGATTTTCATTGGATCTTATGTTTCCCCTTTATAGCTTCAAGCAGTCACCTTCTGTGACTATAGGCATTCCAGCCCTGACATACACGGTTTAACTTCAACTTCTCTAAAAAATAATGGAACAACTTTGAACAACTCTCTTCCACAGTCTTATAGCTTCATTCCTACAAAGCCAATCTCACAAATACAATGTTGCCAACTCTTCCTCAGCTGTAGTCAACCTAAAGTGTCATTCACTGCAACTTTGTTGTCTGTCTTGCTTTAATCCTGGAAAACCCATTCCACAGGCAGAAGCTTTCAGGGAGAACTAAATTCCTTCTGTTTGCCCCTTTGCTTCATCCTCAGTTCATATTAGATTTTCACTTTTGGGTAAATTCACATTTTACAAGTTATATCCCTTGTTTGGTTTGGTATTGCTTTTGGATTATACTTGGTATTATTAGGGTGCAGCATAGAGTTTAATTTTTAAAAATCATACTGTTTTTTCCATCACATACCTAGTCTTCAAAACTTAAATTACTGGAATTCTTTCTCCATAACAAACCACTTGTATATATATATATATATATATATATATATTTATATATATTTATATATAGTGGTCTGACATATATATCATTTATTTGTTATAAATAAATAAATATAAATATATATAAATATCACATATATATACACACATATGATACACACTCACACATATATATATATATATATATATTTCTGTGATACAACCATATCTGATGGGAATAGCAAAAGTCATAAGGCCAGAAAAGCTACTTGAAAAAGCTGTTTGATAGAGCTGTCATATGCATCTAGATTCTTAAAAATTGGGTTATAGAGCTAATGAGTAAAAATGATAACTTTATCAAACATGTAAAAACTTGAAGGAAAATGTTTGTAAAAGCTAATTCTCCTTTGTTTTGGTTTATCAATGATGACTATAAAATGATCAAGAGGAACTGAAACACATGTCCAAAAAAATGATATGATCTATGTTTTGGAAGAACATGAATGTACCCCTGCTTACTAAAATCAGTATAAATAAAGAAGCACTCTGATTGCTAGTCTGTTAGCCTTCAAGATTCTCCTCATCATCATGAACTGGATCACTCAATCTGTCAGCTACTCCCTACATCCTCTGCTGGGACATGTCCACCTCTCAGGATGGCTTCCAGCATTTCTGCTTATATTGTCATTCACCTTCATTGTAGACATGGTCAAGTGTAAGAAAGGAGCCAAACCATAGACCAAATATTCTGCTTTCCTAAAGTTTCTTCTCACCAAATGAATTACCATTAAATTCAATTTCAGTCAAGTTCTTAGGACAGAAGCAAAAATGAAACCAGACTCCTCCATCACAAACCATTCTAATGGCCCCATTCTAATGACTGGTAGAGTCTTTCATTGATTCTAAAATCTCATAATGGAAGCTTTCATTGTCCATACCTTCTTAGTATTCTTATTTTCTAAACTCCTACCAGAGCGGCCCATGAAACACTGTCTCTGGGATTTTCTACTTAACATACCAAGCTCTTTGATATTAAAGCCACAAATCAGTTCTAAAAGCCTATGATTATGTTTATTAAAACAATAACCTCATTCCTTATGCTAAATTTTGTATAATTATGTTATTCATTTCAGTAACACAATTCCTGACACAGCACTCTCATGTAGGAAAAATATGTTCCTTGGGGGAATCCGTTGTTGGTTAGTGTTTATAACATCAGGTGGTTGAGGAAGTTGGTCACACTGCATCTGTAGTTTGGAATCAGAGCAATGAATATCTGTGCTTTGCTAACTTTCTTATGTTTGTAGCCTTCATGACAAAAGCCAAGAGAATAGCTCCTATTTGCCAGGTGGACCTTTCCACATCAATCAAATTGTTCAAGTGTGGGTTCCACTAGGTTTTCTAGAACCTAGCCTAATCAAGAAAACCCCTCACATGTATGCCTGGAAGCTTGTCTTCTAGGTGATTGAAGACTTTTTGACCATAACCATCCAAAGTGTCTGTCACCATATTCATGGTTTTTCTTTGTCTTGTCTTGTGTTAGCTAAGCTATGAGGCACTTTATAAATAGGTATAGTACAAGTGGACACCTATGAGTTATTCTTTATTTTATTGGGAATATTTTAAGTTTTCTCTTCTTTAAGAAAATTCATCTTGAGAATTTATAATTTTATGCTCTTTTTGAGAACCGCCTCTTTCCTTAGCCCAGGCATGCCCAGAACTTGCAGCAATCTTCCCTTATCTGGTTGGGGAATTAAAGTATGAGACAGTATTTCTAGTTTGAATCAAAGTTTAAAAATTCTGAAAATGTAGATTCTAGACATCAGAGTACATTTATTCCTTTCATGCCAAATGTAAGAGGATTTGAAAGTATGTTTAATATAAAAGGACTGTACATTGAGTCTACAACTTAATAATAAAAAGCCCAAAACTTGCAGTTCCATGTTAAATCCTTTCAGAAAGGGAACATACCCAACCATGTAATTGAGTATAATTTTAAGCATTAACTCATACCCAGTGTATATTGATTGAAACTCCACAGGAAATGAAAAGTTTAAATGACTCTTGAAAATATAAGGATAATGGTATCCAGAAGCATCACAATTTCAATAGTCTACAAATTCAAGATACAAATAGCATATTCTTTCTATGTAAATTTCACATTTGTTTCCCAACACAGAAGAATAAATTGACGTGAATTATAACCTACATACGATTACATTTATCAAATAAATGCAAAACATCAGACACTAACAATATCTGTATCCCTGAATTATTGGGTGTGGGCATTGATTGGAAGTTGGATTCTGGTAGAAGCAAGGACAATCAGGAAGTGCTAGGGAGTTAGATGATTAATGAACAGGCTGCTTATGGAAGGAGCTGGTAAGCACGGAGGCACTGTGAGGAGACACAGAAAAGCCAGGAGGCCTCTATGGGATGAGACAGAGCTAAAATTCACAGTGGTTCAGAGAATGAGGGGTATAGAATGTACTTGAGATAACAGTGCCTAACTGATGATCAAGCAAGCTTCCCAGATAATCCAGGTTTATGAGTGTTGTGGGACTTGATGGCAGTGTGGGAAAGAGTGTCTATGAAAGTTAGAAGTACAGAATCTTAAATTGGTGTTGCCACTAATTTGATATCCAGGACATGTCAAGATGGAAGTGTACATCAAGATTTGAACTCAGGTACTCAGGAACATAAACCAAGTTCTATAAAAATTTGAACCATTTCATTATCCCTATAAATTAAATGAGTTAATTTTTACAGGAAATATTAAACAATCTCTTCCAAATTTTCTGAATGGCATTCTTCATTTCTTTATTTCTGAATGTGTAAACTATGGGATTGAGCAGTGGAGTCAGGACATCAGCAAATATAAACACATTTTTCTCAAAAGAGAATGCAGAAGTATTTCGTGCATATATTAATATGCACGGGACAAAGAACAAAAGCACAACCGTAATGTGGGATCCACAGGTGGAGAGAGCTTTGCGCTGCCCTTCAGAGCTGTGAGACCTCAGAGAGAACAAGATGATACTGTAAGACACAAGTAATAAGGAAAAAATAATGATGCAGATAGACCCACTGTTGGCAAACACTAGAACAACAAAAATATGAGTGTCAGTGCAGGCAAGTTTTAGCAATGGGAACAAGTCACATATGAAATGATCAATAGAATTGGGTCCACAGAAAGGCAGTTGCAAAGTGAAGATAATTTGTATGATAGAATGCAAGAAGCCTCCTGTCCATGCTGTACCCACCAGAATGCCACACACCCTCCTGTTCATGATGGAAGAATAGTGAAGGGGCTTGCAAATGGCCACATAGCAGTCATAGGCCATGGCTGCTAGGACAATCACTTCTGCCCCTGCAAAGAAGTGGATTGCAAATAGTTGTGTCATGCAACATTCAAAGGAGATAGTTTTCCTCTCATAGAAGAAGTCTATAATCATCTTGGGTGTGATTACAGAAGAAATGCATGCATCCAAAAAGATAGAAAAGACAAAAAGAAGTACATGGGGGTAACAAAAAGTGAGGGGCTACATACAATTGTTACCACAATTATCATGTTGCCCCCAACGGTTGCAAGGTAGAAAAACAAAAATAAAACAAATAATGTTTTCTCAATTTTGGGATTCTGTGAAAGTCCCAGGAGTATGAACTCAGTGACACAGATCTGGTTTAACATGATTCTTGAGAAAAATTGCAAAGTAAATGTGTTCATAAACCTGCAGTTGTGAAAAAAATTTTCTTCATATATTTTTAATATTACTATCAGGAAATGATATAATGGAAAAAATGCTCAGTACTCAACTGTCTTGTCAACATTATGTCGTAGTACTCAGTAGTGCTCATTTATATGTGCAAAACGTATTAAAGATATTAAGTTCAAACAAACAAAATATTATTAACCTAGGGACTTTAGAGACACAGGGTTCAGGATGCATGATCACTTGCTAGATTGAAGAGGATCATGATTGAGATATTTTATCTCAGTGAGAACTTCAGAGTACTGATGGTTTTTCCACAGTCTACTTCTCTTTATAGTGGTTAAAGAATTTATTATTTGTTTATGTGTGAGTGAGGAAGCTTGATAAGGCAAAAGGGTAAATGATGAAGGAACTGGAGCCAATGGACCAATCACCTACAAATGAAAGTAGGTAACAATAAGAGAGGTGAAAAAGATAAAAAAATTTTTGAGTGTAATTTCTAATCTTGAGACTTAATTTGTCAATTGATACAATGAAAAATGGTTGAATAAATATAAGGTGTATGGTGTGAAATTCAAATGAATTTACTATGAAAGATGCTGATAAATAACTTACCTTCATATCTCCAAAGATTAAGGAAGGCTCAAGCTGAAAATGTCTAAATAAGACTCACATTAACATGCCCTTAAAATTCTAGTCACAATTCATACAATTGAAAACCTTTTCCAATAGAAAATTTTCATAAAACAGCTGTGTATATATTATAGCTCCTGAATTTCTTTTTTCCTACGTGGATACAGCTTTAAATTTTATAGGTTTCTTCTTTTATGTGTACATCAGAAACACATTTCACAAATGTTTTTCTGTGATTATTTACATATGTGTTTGTAACTTCATATATCTACATATATATGCATGTACCAACATGAGTAAAAGAATAATGTTTCACTGGGTGGTGATAGTGCATGCCTTTAATCTGAGTACTTGGGAGGCAGAGGCAGGCAGATCTCTGTGAGTTAGAGGCCAGTCTAGTCTACAAAGCTACATAGAGAAAATCTGTCTCAAAAAATGTAAAAGAGTTATAAACTTGTCTATATGGAAAAAAAGAAAATATTAAGGATGATCACATAGTAGTAACTAACAAATTTTAAATGTAAATAAATGTACCATCTGAAGTTGCAACATTTGACAATGGATTGTTCCCGGAGAGGGAAAATCACTCTATTGAGGATATGACCAGTAGTAGCTTTCCAATTCTCCATTGAAAGGGACCATACCCATAGGAGAAGCACTAACTGATTTAGTAGGTTCAACCACAACAAAAATGAAGTAGAAAGGAGGTCTTTTCTGTTGATATACAAGGAGTTGGAAGAAAATGTGAGTTATATATGATAACACTTTATTGTATGCAGTATAAAAACACAATGATAAAGCAAAAGAAATTAAAGACTATAAAATAGACAAAATAGCCGGGTGGTGGTGGCGCACGCCTTTAATCCCAGCACTCAGGAGGCAGAGGCAGGCGGATCTCTGTGAGTTTGAGGCCGGGCTGGACTGATAGCCTCCAAAACAATACAGAGAAACACTGTCTCATAAAAAAATAGATAAAATACAACATTATGTAGATAGAAAACTTGCTGACATTCTGTTGTCAAATAGTCTGAAAAGAGTTTTATGTGTAAGAGGTATGTGCCATGAGATGAACTGTCAGACATCAAGGTTTTGGGTCCACAAAAAACAAACAGGTGGCTCTTAGTCTTAATGAGGTGTTGAGAAAGTATGATGCAACTCAAGTTGGATTCAAATTTTTACATTATCAAAAGTGGAACTCATGGCATCATATGTAGCATGCATATACTATTATATGGTTTCCATAGATGGTCATATTGCTGAGTCAACCCCTCTCACCACCAAATACTCTTAGATCTCAAGTATAAACTTTCATGTAATTGCTTACATATTCTGTACTTACTTTATTCTAAAATTATCCACAATTTTCTTGTCTCCAATATCAAGAATTTTAACATTAAATAGCTGTCCCCTTTCTTGCTCAGGGACCTCTCATTGTAGAAACTGGTAACTGAGTCATTTCTTTGAATGATGACCTTGAAGCATCTTCTTCCCTATGCCAATTCTCTATATAGCCTACCATTCCCTTCCCACTTATTGAAGAAAGAAAATCTATTTGCAGCATTAATCTATCTGTAGATAACAGAATGTTTTTGTTAATGCAAAATGCATATATACTTAAAACTATCAGAGTATATAAACATTGTCAGTCTATGTAGCTGCTTTGAAATATATTTCATGCAAGCAAAATATTGTTATAACCAAAAATAGTAAGTTGGAGCTGAAATGTAATTTTTACTTAGCATTTATGTTAAATTCCATAAATCAATCTCATTTTAATCTAAAACTATTGTCTACAAATAAAAATTGATTTGTATGTGTATCTAAGCAATTTCTAGTAACTTCCAGTGCAATAACTACATTTCAGATTCCTAATCCATTTTCTCCTCAGTGTTGCTTTGCTGATTTCCTTAAATGAATCAACTCACTTGTCCTACAAATTCTGTAATACATGGGAATTCTGTTTCCCTCCTAATAGAATTTTTAAATTTCTCCTTTGATATCTAGGTTATTCAGGTCATTTTAAGACAGGAGCCAGGCCATTAGAACTACCGGTCTCACAATTGAGAGCCTTCATACAGTGACTGATGGAAGCAGAGGTGAACACCCACAGCTAAACACTGAACTTAACCCATGGAACCCAGTGACAGAGAGAGAGAAGTGATGAGCAAATTGGCAAAGAATGGGCTGGCAAAACCAGCAGAGACAGCTGATCTGAACAGGGGAGAGCTCTTGGACCACAGACCGACAGCTGGGAGGCCAGCATGGGACTGATCCAGAACCCCTGAGTGTGAGAGTCAGTGAGGAGCCCTGGGCAAACTATGGGGCCCTGGGCAGTAGATCAGTGTTTATCCCTGACATGCAAACGGACTTCATGTGTCCATAACACAAGGAGGGATGCTCTCTCAGCCTGGACTCTTAGGGGAGTTCCTGGATCCTGCCATGAGTGAAATGACAGACTCTAGATATCCCCTATGTGGAAGGAAGTAGGGATAGGGTGGGAGGCTGGGGGAGATGGTGGGAGGTGCGGGAGGAGGGGAGAGAGAGGGAACTGGGATTGACATGTGAAGCAAGTGAAGCAAGCTAATTAAAATTATTGTAATACAAAATAGAAAAACCATTAAATAAAAAGATAAGGAATCTATGCACCACAATTGATAGAAATTTTCAAAAACACAATTATAAATCAAAAAGTCGATTATTGTATTAACACATATTATCCTGACTATAGAAATCCAAAATTAAAGTGTTTTATAACAATTTAAAGGAATCTCTATAAATGCAGAAATGTGCCTATGATTCTCACCTTGAGTTTACTTTGTATAATCCTGAAGTTAAAGCCATCCTGTGATTTCTACTAAAATAAGTTCATGGAAGGATGATCAAAATGCTGTTTTAGCTAACTTTTCTTTGTGCCCATAAAAGAGAAATCCAGGTCTCGCAGTGAAGTTAGAGGAAATCACAAATCCTTCCTTCATGCCATAATCAATGGGATTTAATATTAAAAGAAAAATGAAGTCACCAAATCCACTACCTAAATGCAACTAGGTTAATAGGTATTCCCTGAGAGGTCATCTACCTATGAGACTTCCTCATAGCTCCCCTATGGTTTGGACAATTTCTGGCACCAACAGTGTCTGAAATATGTCTTTGTGGATTTTTTCACTTGCTTGAGAGTTTGTAATATTTTCATTTCCTTCCAAAGCTTTTAAATATTTGAGGGCTGGTTCTGTATGAAACATTTTCACTTTCAGGATTAGGAAACTTTGTATACTGAATAGATTGTGATGTCTTTGTACAGAATTTATGTAAAATGCTCACATACTCACCAAGCATAATTAGAAATGTGATCTGTTGCAAGGAATTCATCAATCAGTCTATAAGGATAATATGTACTATTCTGGTGAACACTAGCAATGACTGTTCTTTACAGAAAAAACATTTCATATATAAATATATAAGGATATATATAAATAAAGATACTCATTTCCTCTTGACTACACAGTGCAACTTCCTGTGACCATTCCAATTATGCTACTGCTTTCTTCTTCCCAACTGTACCTCACCTATATATGAGTCTGTTGATTTTGACCCACTGGCTTTAAGGTTGATGGATAAAAGCTTATTTGATGTCTCAAAGGCAAAATTCCTTTGACTACATTCTTAAAGAAATGATATTCTTTAACCAGGAACATTTAATTGTCAATAGCTCTTCAGTGAGGCTTGGGGTTCATGACTTCTTTCCTTATGCATGATGGAACTTGTACCAGGCCAGTGGAAGCATGAACAGGTACTTATTTTTTTCATGACTGAAATGATCATTCCATTTTCTGGAGACAGTGTTTCTCTGCTTCATCATCCTTAAGTTCTTATGCTATTCCTGTCTCATCTTCCAAGATATTCCCTGGATCTAGGAAGAGTCTAATATAGCTGTCCCATTTAAGGATGACTAGTGTAAGTATGAATATTTCAGTGGTTTTCAGTATTTACTTTTTGGCTGGAAAATATAATTTCATTTCTGTTGGAGTTTGAATTAAGGTTATGTAAGGACATAATGAATCTGAGACACAGACATAGGGACAATCGATGTTGATACTTACCAAAAAGGAAGTGTGACAAAACATGTTAGAATGAACAAAAGAATCCTTGCTGCCTTCCTCTATCTCTAAAGAACACTTAAGACATACCTCTGATGTTTTCCTGAAGAAAAAGTAACCTTGTGTTTTACATTACCTTGAACATAATAGCCTGTGAATCCTGCTTCTTCACTTACCTATAAACTTGTGATTGTCTCAAAAGGATCTGTAACAATAAGAATGAATCTTGGCATACAGTGTGCCTCTTATGG